GCTGATTTTGCTGTTTACTCCCGAGTCTCCTGTTTTTTCCTTTGAATATTTTCCTCGATTGATTGCCCTGATAAAAAGAATTGTGTTGGTAGGCATTATCTTGATCGTGAATGAGTGTTTGATTACTTCGTGTAAAGTCGAATGTTGCTGTAATTGACTCGAATGAGGTTATTCTGTGAATCAAGTTCGAGTTAGGCCGAATGTAAGTTGAATTCGGGCAAGGTCGAACGTCGCTCTTAACTAATTCGAACTATGTCAAATGTGTGTTAATTAATTCGAACGAGGTCAAATGTGAGTTGATTCGAGCGAGGTCAAATGTTGACTCAGTTAGTTCGAACGAGGTCGAATATGAGTCGATCCGAGCGAGGTCGAATGTTAACTCTTAGTTAATTCGAACCAGGTCGAATACGAGTTGGTTCGAGCGAGGTCGAACGTTGACTCTTAGTTAATTCGAACGAGGTCGAATATGAGTCGGTTCGAGCAAGGTCGAATGAGTTAATTCGAGCAAGGTCGAATGTCATTTTAATTAATTCGAACAAGGTCGAATGTGTTTATTCGAGCGAGGTCGAATGCCACTTTAATTAATTCGAACAAGGTCGAATGTCACTTTAATTAATTCGAACAAGGTCGAATATGAGTTATATTGTTCCTTCAGTGAACGTAAGCGGATTCCATTGTACGCTTGTTTTGCTTCTATAAACTTGGAGAAATTTACATGCTTTTCAGACCGGCATTTTAGTCCCAGTCTATCTAGTCCCTTCATTGGGCAACCTGGAGAAGTATTGAGAGGCCGGGAAATGAATATATCGGTCTGCACCTTCAACATATTTTAACTTGACGTTCTCCTTGTCGCCTCGTTAAAAACCTTCCCGAGAAAACCCAATTGGGACAAAAATCATGTTAGGGAAAAAGAGTACGGCTAGGAGAACATTTTTCCTTAGAGGTTAAAGTACTTGAGGTCAGCGATGTTCCAATTGTTTAGCGGTAGTTTTCCTTCCATCGTTTCCAGTTGGAACGACCCTTTGCTTGCTGCCGCCGTAATTTTGTACGGGCCGTCCCAATTAGTCCCTAGCTTTCCTTCTCGTGGGTATTTGATCGCCTGTGTTTTGGCTTTGAGTACGTAGTCCCCGACTTTGAGCGGTCTGACCTTGGCTTTTTTGTTGTAATATCGCTCTGCCTGTTGTTTCTGAGCGACCATCCTTATGTAAGTCATGTCTCTTCGTTCTTCAACCTCATCGAGGTCTTGCCTCCTGCTCTCGTTGTTAGTCGGCCCGCTATCGTGTGAGTACCACAGACTTGGCTCTCCGACCTCAACCAGTATCACTACATCAGTCCCGTAGACTAGCGAGTATGGTGTTTCTCCCGTGCTTGTTTTTGGTGTTGTGCAGTATGCCCATAGCACTTCCGGCGGCAACTCCGGCCACAGTCTCTTAGCGTTCTCGAGTTTCTTCTTCATGATATTCAATATTGACTTGTTGGAGGACTCCGCCTGTCCATTGCCTGCGGGATGATATGATGTGAAGAGTATTCTTTTGATGTGCCACTTTTTGAAGAACTCGGCGATCTTTTTTCCAGTGAATTTGAGCCCGTTGTCACAACGGATTTCTTTGGGGAGGCCAAAGCAGCATACGATATTCCTCCATATGAATGTGACACTTCTTGCTCGCGTATTTGGGTGATTGCACCTACTTCCACCCACTTTGAAAAATAGTTAGTTAAAACTAAAAGAAATCGTACATTACCTCGTCCTGCTGGGAGGGGGCCGACGATGTCCATCCCCCATTTGATGAAAGGCCAAGGCTAGGTGACTAAGTGGACGTGCTCGCCTGCTTGATGGATCATGGGGGCGTATCTTTGGCATTGTTCGTATTTTTTTACGAAGTCGGCGACCTCTTTCTTTATTGTGGGCCAGTAGTAGCTTGCTCGTATGAGGCATATTACTAGGGCACGATTGCTGGTATGGGCTCCACAGTGACCCTCGTGGACCTACTCCAGAACACGTCGTGCCTGGTTTGGGCCTAAGCATTTCGCTAGGGGGACGCCATAGGTTCTCTTGTACAAGTCATTGTTGATGACGTTGTACCTGACCGCCTGCATTTGAAGCTTTTTGGCTTCTCTTTTGTCGTCTGGGAGCACGCCGTCCTGAAAATATGTGATAATACAGTTGTGCCTGTCCCAAGTTAGGTTTATAGTTCGTACCTCGATTGGATCGACTGGTGATTGGAGGAGAGTGACCACGTTCCTTCCTCGAATATGCTTTTAGTGGCTGCTGCTAATTTGGCGAGATCGTCGCCTTTTACTGCCGTGACGTAATGAGTCACATGATCTTCAGGGCCATTGTACCGTCGTATATTTTTAGGTACGGTGGCATTTTAAAGGTTTTGAGTATTGCATGTGGTGCAGCTTCGTCGCTGTATGGCTGCTAAATAAACCGACCGGCGTCCCTTTTTGGTAGGAGTTTTGGGGCACCCGGTATTTGGCCTAACCTTTCTTGATGTTCTTTCATTTGGTCGCGGAGCATTTTGTTCTCGTTCTCCATCTCCTCCATTTTCCTCAGAATGGCTGTGACGGTGCCCTCACCTGCATTACTAACATTGTGAGTAATACCTGTTATAGGGGGCGCGTTGCTCGTCTGTCGCCGACGCAACGCCAACTCTTGCATCTTCTCAGTTCGGCCTTTGTACAGGCTTGTTGAGAATGTTGGTCAACGTGTTTGTCAACCACGCCTCGAGCAACTTTTTCACTACCGGTGGTGCCTCTTCCGTTGTGGACGTAAAGGCTCATTTACCATGTGAGGCTATGATGCTGCCGTGATGAGGGGGCAAGCTGTTTCACCTTGGAGAGGTATCTAGTGTTATGTCTTCAGTCTTCACCCTCCATTTCATTGACTTCGTTGATAGTGTGAAGGAGGTTGGTGGTGAGGTCGGCTATTGCTTTCCTCTTTTCCTCTCCGTTGCCTACCATGTTAGATTTGTGTACACAAGTGTAGGGTTTTTTGTGTTTTTTTAAGATCTAGAAGAAACTAAAATTTTAACTAGAAAATCCCTAGAGACGACGCCAAATTGTTTGATCAAAAAGTATGAAACTCTTTGTAAAAATAATTAAGTAAAAGTATAATGGATTAATCATAGTCAAAGATAATATCTCTAGATCTAAAAATCAGATTGTATGGATGCGTGGGACCATGTTGAAGTCGATTTAATGCAAAACATAGTAAATGTGGCTGTTATCAATGTGATGAAGACAAGTTGTAAATAACAATAAATGCCCCTAAATGTAAATAAGGAGGAAGATTCACCCAATAATGAAAGAGGTGATAATTCCTTCTTCTGACAAGAATATGAGGAAATATTATACACTTTCTCGGATCGGGTGGAAATGACAATGGATTGAATACATGGATCGAATCTTTATCAGAAAGTGGTTCTTTGTATTTATCTAGAGAGCTTGCTTTTCAAAAGTGTTCTTATCAAATGGAATATTACATACCATTTTCCTTATCTCCCCTACTGTTGATATGGGACATTCCCGAAAAAAAAAATACTAAAATGCACAATAAAAAGGAATATTCAATCCAAAGCTGTACTAGTCGTTACTCGTTACTTCTGTCCCTAGCTACTCGACCCCGACCCTGATGAACCACTCAACGACTTGTTTTGTTCCCCACTGATCGACCTCGGCCGAACTGCCCATGATAATTACAATTTTCACGATAATCACCTCCTCATACTGAATTTTCTCGGTCGGATTTTGACCCATACAGAGAGAATACAGGAAAAGGTGACTGTCTTTAAATATAGTAAAGCAATAAATAACAACAATAACATATTCAGTAAAATCTCGCCAGTAAAGTCTGAAGAAGACAGTGTGTACGTAAGTCTTATTTCTTGTTCTTACCTTGTAAAGGTAAAAAAGTAATTTTCGATTCAAGTAAAACATACTCCCATTAAAATCCGATAGTAAGGCAACAAGTTGAGGAATTCGGACTAAAAACACAAGTATCACGTCTTTTTATTCATTTTCTCAGTTAATATGATTTTCGGAATGAATCCCTACCATTCAACAGAAGTAAATTTTACTTTATTCATTAATAAAAATTCTTTATCCTATTAAATGAGGTGGATTACAAGACACAAAGCAAATAAAATTGGACGAGTGAGCGTCATTCAGTAATTCATAAAGCACTTTCTCTCCCACTTATGGTTGAAAGTTCGAGTTCCAAAGTACAAGCGAGGAATTAATAATGTGTCGCGTAAATTGGAGTAAAAGAATAACGAGGAGAAAACATATGGATATTTTTGTAATAGTTGTGTTTCTTTAATTTGCCTAATTTTTTTGAATTTGGTAGGTATCATCAGCCACCAGTTCTACAATCTACACTTTAATTACGATAAACCAGCTATTTTCCCAAATATATGCGAAACAGAAATAATTAACATACTCCCCGAACTTAGGCAGAGAAGTTTGTAGTCCCTCATTCTGTAATTGAGGATATAATTAATAAAGTAGCACCCAAGATGTGGCCAGTAATTAAGGGTATACAAGTAGTATAAAAGTAAACATCTAAAGATGTAACTTACCATGGATGAGGCCAAGATTTTAAGTTTATTCTGGGTTCTAAAAAGAGAAATTTTCATAAAGCACTGTCTTTTAGTGGTAATTAGCTATTTATAGATACCATTTGCTATATTACGGATTGTAGATACGTTTTCTGTTGTTATAAGATGTATTAGATGTATTTAAGCTACTGTATTCATGAATACAATAGCAAAAATAGGCGTGAATCAGAGAAGTCCAGCTAATCAGTTGTTGTATTCGAGTGTATTCGACTGTATTCATGGCGTGAAACATGAGATTACAGCTGGACAGATTATTGTATTCGACTGTATTCACAACGTGAAACATGGAGATTACACTGTTTTTAAATGGAAAGTGTATCAATTAACATTAATCTTTGGCAGATTAGTAAATATTTGTTTGAAAACAAAATTAACGCCTTTTCTGAAGAGTCTCCTTGCGGTCCTCGGCTTCATCTTCCTAACAGTTGCACCGATTGCTTCCCTTGTCTAACCCCATGCCAATTTCCCTCACTTATTGCTCTTCTCTGCTAAAGCAACAGGTTTTACATCTGAATATCTCTTCACCAATTTTTTTTTTTCCATTAGTCATCTTCTTCTCATATTTCTTCCCCAAATCTACTTGCTTGTCAGATTTTAGGTGCCACTAATATTCCCTCCGTCTATTTCCCTAGCTAAATCCTAGGCGATATCCGTCTCTTGCAAAGTTGAGTTGTAAGTTGGTTTTCAATTTTATAATGATTTTTTTATGTGAATACCTTAATTTTTTTCTGAATGTTATTTAGCCGAGATATGTTGTTTGAAATGGTAAGAATTTTGAGATGACTAGCATCTAATTCAGTATTAATGTTCGTTCCCTTACTTTTCTATGTTTCCCTTTTGCTTTGTTTAATATGGTTATTGCTACAATTTATCAATATAACTTGTATATATGCTTCATAATTCGTTATATTATTTATGATTTTAATAGTTAGCATGGTGTGTTCATGGAGAAGAAAAGGACTTGGGGTTACAATTTCTTAGCGAAGATTTTGGTGGGACAAAAGATGATTCTTGTATTACAAATTTATTCAAGTGCAACAGCACTGATCAGTCTTGGATATATTTATTTGTAAATTGGTTTATTTGTCATAAATTTATAGTTGGAAATAGTTAACTCTACATTGTGAATTGTGTTTAACTTCTCTCTGTTGTCTTTGGTTTGAGGTGAATGATATTACACACTCTCCAAAAGATTAAAATAAATCTTTCGGAAAATAGTAAATTTGGTCCCTAAATTGGTTGTTTTTTTGAACCTCTTTTGTTTGGAAATGGTTGTATGGTTATTCTGATTAGTGATCCTTAAAAATGCTTGACTGCTGAATTTTCATGAAAACTCTTGAAATTCTTGAAGGGTCATTAATTCGTCTTTATTTAGGATATGATATACTTTTCAGACATTCAAGTCTATTGCCAATGAACTATTTGAGTTGGAAGTCTTTTGCACTTTGTTAAATTCATCTTCTAAGATACTTTCCAAAATTTCAAGTTGATATATTTTTAAATGTCCCATAAAGATTTTAAAATTGTCTCAGTCATTCAGAGCATGTTGAATTTTGGTAAATCTATAACAAAAGTGGAATTATTAATTAGTACCAATTAAAGGAAGAAACCCTTCTTCATTATAGGGAATAATTGGGTCGCCTCCAGCGGCGGAGCTATTGGATTCTAAATTAATAATTTGTACATATTCATTGGATTTCTTAATACAAATACAGGATTTGAATAAAAACTACTGGGTTTGGCCGAACCCGCAACCAACATTGTGGCTTCGCCCCTGGTCGCCTCCGGTTATCTAATCTCATAGGAGAAAACAATTGTATTTCTGGATAATTGCTAGAAAAAAATAATTTCCCTAAAGCATCTAATATTACATTCAAACTTTGTTACACAACCATCCTCTCTATCAGTCTATTGTAACTTTACAATTGACATCTGTTTTCAGGTTGAATTAAGCAGTTTTTTCCCCTTCTTCAGCATCCACCTTGGTAAGTTAGTGATGTTCTCTCCATCTCATCCTCAATAGTGTATCCCCAAATCTCGAGATTATTATTTTTTTAATTAAATTTTTACCCAGGCTTTCACCTCCGTGATAGTGGGGGATTTGGCAAGGTTTATATATTTATTTTACTTTAAGTGGTTCACGTTTTTGCTAAGTCTTTTGAAATTAATTATAATGACCAACTACAATGAGAACCTATTGTGGTCTTGGAGGGGCAGGAGCTCAGGGAATCAACCTCAAGATCTTGTTTTCAAACTTCTTCCTCCCTTCGTTATTTGGGAATATCTGGATAAAAATGTGCTTTTAGATATGTCAGCTGATTATTTCTACTGATAAAGTTATACATGATTCAGTTTTAATATGAGGTTTGCTATAGCTAATGCGTTTGATCAGATCAAGTTAACTTCTAATTAGAAGGAAAGTTGTACTATAGTGGATAACTATAGTCAAAACTGATTTCTTTCACAATGTATTTAACTCAAATAAGAGAATTATTCTTTGAAACTTAATACAGATAGGTACTCAAAGGAAAGGGAGAAGGCTGCAGGTGTTATCTTTAGGGATCACAACACTAATGTAATGTCTTTCACTATCCCTGCCTTATTGTACAAACAATCTAGCAGAAGCCATGGAAACTAACACTTATTGACAATGTGATTTTGGAGATGGCTCCAAGAGCATTGTTGATTCACTGGAAGTAGGACTCCCTCATGGAAATTACTGGAATGCATTTCAAAGATCCGAAATTTTTTAGCTACTATACATGATGAATCCACTCATAGAGAAGCTAATATAGTGGCAGACTTGCTAAAGCTGGATAAATCACACACCCCTCAAAGAGTCTATTTTAATTTTGAACAACTCCCCGGAATGGTAAGATGAGCATACAAAATGCGAAAAGCACGCTTTGAAAACTATAGGATATGGATTCAAAAGAAGGGATTTGGCTAAGGTCAATGAAGAAATGAGGATTTTTCTAATTGAAATAGTCATATGTTTAGTGAACCTTTTCTTTTTTTTTTGAAAATGGAAAATTCTCATTGCTTTCCGTTAATGTCTTCTTTTGTAACTTTTCTTGAATATATGGTTTTATGTTCCCCTCCTTGTATCTTTTGCTTATTAATATGGTAGGAATCATGCCCATCATCATAGGAGATGAAAACCTAGGTGAATGTCTTATTTAAAGAAAAAGTTAGGAGAAACTAGTTAACAGTATAAAGATTAAAAAGATTTCTGTTTCCAATCTATCAGCCTTCTTATACTTGGCCACGCCAATATGCAATATACAACGACACAGAATAAATGGGTTATGGAGTACAAAGAAGTTGAGGATAGTGGATACTGACCAGTTGTCGGTCTCAACACAAGTTCCTCGCACCGAGTTACGTATTACCCACCACGTTTTGGTGTAACGTCCATGTCGTGGCGAGATGGTTTGAGTAACAAGTGTATCGTGCATGTGTGCAAGTGCGTATTAGCTAACACGTCCCATGATACGTGGCATAACCACGCATCCACTTGTAAAAGAAAAGATCAACAAATCAATTTCTTGTTTTGTTTTTCTCCTCTAATTTGAAAAAAACTGATCCCAAAAAAAAAAAAAAAAAAACATGCAAATTAAACCAGTTGCATGATGAACAAGGAAGTAATATATAATCAGAAGTCAGAGATTCCCTCGTTGACGATCATGATTGATTCCCCATCTACGGATGCCGAATTGCAAATGCGCCGCTGCGATCAAGAATTCCACCGCTTGCTGTGGCGACAAAAGTTGCACCAAATTCTCTATGGTTTTCATTCTCAGTTTGTCCGCCCTCTCTAAAACGCTCACCAGCCCTTCCATTTTTGCATCTATATCTCCCATCAACCCAATTACCTCACTTGCACCATCCTGCATGTAACATATGAAAAAACATCACACACATTAATTGTTTGTAATTCTGGACTACAATGGACTTAAATAGAGTGGAAATTAATTCATGAGTCATAAACCTAATATAATTGAGGTTCTTAGATTCAACCTCAAACAACTCAAATTAAATACGCGACAGGTATTGTAGTGATAGAGTGGCCTACCAGGATCCAGATTGATATGAAATAAAACAGAGAGATGAGTATATGGATGTGCATGCCTGCCACTCGGAGAGTTCATGAGCAATAGCATTTTCTTCCAGAACAGCTTGACATTGAAGTTCACTGACACGGCGGAGTTGGTCGGGAGAGAGATCACCGAGATCGCCGTAGCGGAGGCCGCGTAGAATGTCGATGATATGGGACTCGAATAAAACGCTGGATTCAGTGTAGATAAGGTGGAAAGCAGTGGTGGGTCGCCAACCGGCAATCCAGTGGAGAGATCGTTCAAGAGAAGTGCACCAAGGTGCATAAAAAACGGAGAGGATATCATTTTTTGCAGCCAAGGACTTGACTCGGTAGTACTCGGAGTAGTGGGACATGACTTTTTGAACAAGCTGTTGGTGCAACTCGTGGTTTTGGTCATTGGTGGCGGGTTTTGGGGCTTGGTTCAGTTGATGTACCATTCCCTTGAGCTGCTCAAACCATGTTTCGTAGAAACTTTGGAAGCTCATCCTTCGTTTCGTTTTCCTTTCTTCTTTTTTCTTTCTTTAGAGTGTTAGAGACGTGTGAGAGGTTTCAGCGAATTGCTTTAATTTATAGTCCTTTGTATTGAAGTGTAAGTGACTGCAGTCTTTATTAGGAACGTAACTTTGGTAGATTATAAGTGGTGGAGAGATTGGTTTCTTGGGAAGGACAACTAACCTTTTTCTAGCTGGAAAAAACATCTGTTACGTTAATATTTTTTTAAAATTAGATGCGGACAATAAGGTACTGTAAGATAGTAGTGTATTGGTCAAATCTGACGGTCGATCCAACCGAGATCTCGTCCAAGCGGCGAGACAGTGGAAGACGACATAGTTTGCTCCAAACCCCGTACTCACAATACCCGTCAAGTCAAAGAACAATACTCAGGGAACGACGAAAGCGGACGTGGTATGAAAGTGTATTAGCCCAAGAAAATTGTGAGGATTTCATAACTATATATAGGAGGGAACCTTCCTAGAAGGGGGCCTTTTTTCTCTCTTCTCTATCCTCTGTAATCTTCTTAGCAAAAAGAAGATAAAGCAATCTTCGATGGAGGATGTAAAACAGTCATCTCCATCGATTAACAAAAGAAGAAATGAAAAACATCAATAAGATTGATCGCTTCTATTTCATCTTATGCATTATTTTTTGATTTGTTTATGGATCTGGAGGTTATTATGTTTGACTAAGATTTACCTCTTCATCTTTGTTAATTGATTTAATCAAAAAGGTTTCAATATCTTTTGGGTCAAACAATTTAGCGCCGTCTGTGGGGTTTCTTAGTGAAAACTTCCTAGTCTCCTCCAGACCGAAAATCGGGAACGTGATCACCCGCCGAAAAGAACGGTAAGTAAATCTCACCCGCCAACCTAAATAATGATGCTATATACAAGCCAAATGTACAAATAACGGACTTGAAGGATCAGGAGAGAAAGTATCAGTGGAACCCATGTCTATCACACAGTTTCGATAGATTGACGAATACAGAGAATAAAGTCACAAAAGAGATTCAACAGGAAAATTGCATGCAACAGTCATAAAAGAAAGAATAAGAATGAATTTACCCAGCTTCTTCGCTACCGGAGAAGAACGGCCTTCAAATAATAGCTAACCCTAGCTTCAATTGTTCAGTAGCTTAAATTCTTCAAACTTCAACCAAAACGCCGGAAATAACCCTAATGCTGGTCTCAAAGTGCAAATCGATGAAAAATTATTTCTCTGAAAGAATAGAAATCCCCGATTTTCGAACTGTCGGAGATCGAAAAACTCAACCAAAATTGACCGGGGTAGAATCGGAAGCTCAAAATGCACCAGAATCGGTGCTCTGATACCATGAAAACATTGTGATTTGAGTGAGAAATGGGAAATTTTGTTTTAGGGTTTTAGAGAGAGGAATCGGGTATCTTCATATCTGTACATCAACAAATGAACTCACCGACCTACAGGATATGTTCTCCCAGTATTTATATCTGGGCCTTTAGCTATTTACAAAATTAGCCTAACTACTAAAATGGCCCAAATAACCAACTTGACAAATTAAATAAAAGACACAATATAAAATGGCTAATACAAACTAATACAATGCAAATGGCTAACTATTTATACTTAGGCTTATTAGCCAAATACTCCATTAGCTCAACAGTATATTACCCTGAGGAGTAGACCGAATCACAAATCACATCCTCATAGACCCACTGGGTCTAAGATAACAAAAATCGAGAGGATGATATTCCTCCTTACCTCGAGCAACATCAATGAGATACCTATTCAGATGCTGGCCAAATATCATGGTAGAGAATGACTCAGTAACATGTCGACGGGCATCTTGCCCCATATTTTCTGCCATGTGAGGATCCTGAATGAGCTTAGACATTGCTAAAGAGAACTCTTGTGGGTCAGGGTCACAGAGGAAGCCTGTCACACCATTCTTTACTATCTCTACAGGACCGCCACTGTTGCATGCAATAACAGGTTTATAGGCTTCCATTGCTTCCAATGGTACCAAAATGCTCATCTTAGTTTCAAAGAAAGAAAAAGTAGAGAATTTAAACCAAAAATAGTAACAAGGTCATCCTAACCAACGAATCTTTTCTCTCTCTAGAAATGAATGTCTGAGTATGCTTCAAATTCAGGCGCACCTTTAATTTGGTGTATAAAGAACACATGCATTGGGCAAGGAGTGCATTTCTTACAGTAGTAGAGCATGGCGTAATGAACCTGATTCGATCAGAAACACCTTTTCTTTCAGCCAACTTTTTCAGTTCATCCAGGTACTCCACGTTCTCTCTAAGGCGATTATCAAAGCCGCGCCTAAAATAAAAAAAAAGCAACAACATTCCTGTTACCTTTAACATGAATAAATTTGAGCATAAAAGTTATTTTGTACTGCTAAAACAACATTCTATAAAGCCATCTAAATAAGGTGTTAAGGACTATTTCGAATGCAACAAAGCGTTTAGGAACTTCTAGTAGAGAGAAGTGAGCCTTATCTTCCAATGGAGACAAACACCACGAGGAACTTCCCTAAATCAACTTCAACAGCAGATTGTCCCTGATCAGAGGTCAATGCTGACTTTCCTTCAGTTAAAGTTCCCCATTCTAAACAGATTGTGGGCACTCCTACATATCCTTATTTTATACGATGAGAATAGATCGTGTATCAATATACAAATTGACATTATGTTATCAACTCTCCACAAACTCCAGATACCTAGAGCCTAGAGTCAAGAGTTAAAAATAAAATTTGCAAACACCTGCTTCTCAATTTTGGGGGTTGAAATCCACAATTTTGCTGGGGGTTTGCACGTGCTCGGTCTTTTGATAATGCAACTCAATCATACAAATGGACTAGGGAAGAAATAAGCTGAACTTGCCTGCAATAGTCAAGGAAAACACCGTTCCTGTTTAAAAGTTGATTCCTGACTGGTCTCAAGCATTGGAAAGGCAGATATTGCCAGTTCTACATTCTTTATCCTCTCAAATTGATGGATGGATAGGAAATTCAACCTAAAACAAAGTGGACAATTAAAGTTGTAGTAGTATCTTACAGATGAGTTGTTTCTTTAACCTCTATGTTAGACTTTTTTTCTTTCATTATTTGTATTTATTTTTTTTTGGGGGGGGGGGGGTGGGGAGTAGGTAGTGGGTAACAGATCATACAAGTTAAAAGAAAACGAAAATATCAGTTTTATTGCATTGATGCAAGCAAACCTAGAACTATGATGCCCAAGAGATGAAAATGCTTCTGTTACTTAGTACTAGCATTAGGCTTCTGAAACTGATCCACATTGACTGCTGGGTACAACACAACTGGTTTAATTCCACGTGTATCTAGATTCTTGAAGGTCTTTGCAAAAGTGGACGCTGTAAACCTGCTAACCAGGATGATGTCTGCCATACCTACAGTGTGACCACGGAATTAAAGAAGAACTAGATATTGGAACATAGAACTAAAAAATAAATAAGTTTGAGACAATAGAAGAGAGAAAAGAATTAGGGATAGAAAGATAAACTAATCAACAAACACCTGTCGTTATTTCTTCAATGAAGTCAATGGGCTTCCGATATATCCTCCTAAGATTAGTTGTATGTTGTGCCAGCAAGAGATCTGGAAAATGGCAGTAGAATGCAACGAGCTGCTTGAGGTAGAAACTCCATAAATAATTATGCTAATAGCTTAGAAATTGATTTTCATGAACATTTTATACCTTTTGCGACTTCGTTAACTTCATCAGTAGAACAACAGAGACTTGATCTGCTAGAACTATATCAAATGACGACCACAAGAATAACATGCAGAGAGCAACAAACATGCACCGTAAATATGCTCATACTGCATGCACATGATAGAAGATATGCCGGGGTAGGAAGGCACCATGTACTGTGACAGAGAAGACACCTGCAAAGCACGTAGTGTATCAACGACATGAGCCCATTTAAGGGAACAGTGGATATTCTTCTGACATAAGACCATAACATAGAAAACGGATATTCGTACCAGACAGAGTCTCCTCAAAACATCGACTTTTATCATGGTGAGCAGTGAAAATATGAACTTTGTGACTCAAAGAAGAAAGTTCCACAGCGGCATCAACAATTAGCCTTTCAGCTCCACCTAATTATCACATATGCAGGAGTCAATGAGTAGAAAAACTGAGGTCTCGATACACTCAAAATAATATGAGCTGCCATGATGCCATAAGTCTGCACAATGTGCAGACTAGATTTCCTCAAACCCACGCCTCTGAAGAATATCACAGATGCAATGAAAACTTAATAACTTAAGTATGCTTGTTATTATACAAGTGGCACTCAAACGTGCAGTTGATTTGTGTCTCGACTGATATCAGTGTTTAACCAAAAATAAGTCTTCTTGCCAAAATCTAATTTTAGAAGAAAACGAGTTACTAATAACCGAGTTTTACTTCACTTTCCGAATGATATCAAAGGAAATTAATAAGAATAACTTAGCAAATAATCAATATACAAATTGCAAAGTCAAGGAATAGAATTTCGAGAAAGCAGAAAAGTAAAGAGTGTATATCAATATTGTCCCAGATCTGTCCCTACAAATAGAATTTTGTGTCCTTATATAGGAATATACAATAGTAACGGTTTTTTCCACATAATTTGGGTTGATTATGTGCATTAATGATATTAATTGCCCATTATTTCGGATATATATAACTGGCGTATTTATTGTTATACATGCCTCATATCTGTTCCGATTCCTTTTCCTTACTTACTTCCGGTTCATGTATCTTTCCTTCTTTTTATCCTTTATTCATTCCGTCCTTATTTATTCCTTGCCAACTGTTAGGCCCGATACCGTCTCATGGGTATTTCTCCCCGTGCCTTCTCTTCCCTATTAATTAAGAAAGCCAGATGTCGCTGTATCATTGTCCCACGTGTCATGCCATGTCAGCATTCCAATATTCCACGTGTAGTGCTTTTTCACCACCAATACAGATAGTCCCCCCCACTTTCTTGATTATTCTCTACTGAATATTCGGGGAAGTGGAAAGTTTTTATGGCAGGAATTCCCTGCCGCCGTTTTTTCAAATGTAATCGTACCTCCTTCTGAACTGATGCGATGCATATCACTTCCATTTAATGATCATGCCACATGGCTTTTGCTAATTGTTTCTTCAGTTCTTCAGCGCTTTTTAGGGCTTTTCTGCAGCCGCATCAGTCACGAAGTGACGATTCCATTATGACGCTTCATAATGACCTTAATAGTCGTGTCTTCTTATAAATACTTCTCCCTTCTTTGATTTTCTGAAGTCTTTCCTCCTTTGTCTTCTTGTCTTACACCTTTCTGAATTTTTTCCTTGTTCTTCTTTAGATAATCATGTCTTCCCCTAATCCTCGCAAAGTTATAACTGTCGACGAATTTGTTTCTTCCAATGCACCTACTAGAAGTAGAAGAGGTGGTAGGCTGCGTAGCCTCGGTTCTATTTCTAACCGTGGTCCCTCCTCTCAAAGTAGTACTGTCAATCCGTCTTCTTCAAGAACTAGGGCTCCTATTACCCCAAGATCTTCTTCTAGAGATAAAGATTCAATTGAAGCTTTACGTGAACCCACTGTCGATAAAATTGTT